AAGACAAGCAGATCTCCGAGTTAGAGGCTAGCCTGCTCTACAAAGTGAGTTTCGGGACAGCCAGGGCTACACAGAGAAACCCTATCTCGAAAAACAAAAGCAAAAATGACTGAAAAGAAGCAGGGCCTGGTGCAAACACCTTAAGCCAGTACTAGGTGGGCTAAAGTAGGAGGACTGCCACAAGTCTAAGGTCGCCATAGCTATATAAGGAGACCCTGTCTCAGAAAGGAGGCCAGCAAGATGGCTCAGTGGATAAAGACACTTGCCTGCTGATCTTAGCATCCCTGGTACCCACAGAAAGGTGGAAGGAGAGAAACAACTCCACAAAGTGGCCCTCTGACCTACAAATGTGCCCATCGTGTATACACACAACAACAATAAACAAAACTTTAAAACCACAGGCAAAAAGAATTACATAGTTAAAACTGAAAAGGAACAGGGCCTGGGAGGTGAGCCTGTGACCTTAGCTACTCAGAAGGCTGAAGGCAGGAGGCGTGAGAATTCAAGGTCTGTACAGGCTACATAGCAAAGTCGAAGCCAGCCTGCTCGACTTGGTAAGAGCTATCTCATAATAAGAAGAGGGAAGCTGTGGGGATGGGACAAAAGGTCAAAGAGAAAAGTACTCCTGGTCCATCCTTGCTTCCTAATATCCCAAATGCCATACACCCCATTGTCAACATAGGAAAGAAATCCACTTATAAATCCAAAAGTATAATCTAATGAGTCCTGGGGTCCTACCCACTTTTCTCCCCTCTCCTTCTCTCTCTCTCTCTCTCTCTCTCTCTCTCTCTCTCTCTCTCTCACCCTTTCTTTCCTTCCTTCCTTCCTTCCTTCCTTCCTTCCTTCCTTCCTTCCTTCCTTCCTTCCTTCCTTCCTTCCTTTCTTAGACACAGTCTTGGGCAGTAACCCAAGTTGGTCTTGAATTGGCAATCCTCCTGCCTCTGCCTCCCATTTACGGGGGCAACAGGCATGAGTCAGTGTGTCCTACTTTGCAGTACTTCTCAAAGGGGTCAGCAAAACCGTCTTAAGCATTACAGTCAATGTGTCTTCTTCCTTGTTATGCAGCTCCCAGTCAATGGAAGGAAGGCTTGCAACATTGCTACTCATTTAACTTTTTTATACATTTTCCAAAACCTTTTAGAAAGGGCTGTTGAATCTCTAAATGCAAAACTATCTTCATCAAGTATCCCCTGGCCATGATGGTAGGTTGGTGGAAGTAACAAGTTAGCCCAATCAGGCCAAAGGAAAGACTTGCATAAGCCCCAATATAATCATTGTCCATGATTGGAATTTTCCACAATGTGGGGAACTGGCCCAGAAGGAAAATGATACTGTAATGGCAGGGTGGAAAGAGAGGGAGGGAGAGGGACCAGGTGAAGCTGATGCTAGAGTAGTAGAGCAGGAAGATGAAGGGGCATCTTGCTGTGATCATGCTATGTCTGTGGGCCCTCTGGGCCGGGAGCTTTTCCCACTACACGACGACGCCTTTGCACAAATCTGCTCAGCATCATGAGGTAGCAAACCCTCCAGGCAAGACAAACGCGCAGCTGCGTCCTCACTGTTTCTTCAGCATCTGTGTCTGGAGTAGGAGAAATGGCCCACGTGACACTCCCTACCCCCCCCCCCACACACATACAGATGACATCTGGAAACGCCATTGTGTGCTTCAGCAGCTGACTGCAGCCGCAGCAGGAAGAACTGGTTTGCAGTTCTCTGCCTTACTCAGAGGCAGGGGCAGGATGAGGGAGTACTCAAAAGCACAAGCTCTGGAGGCAGGGTCTTGAGGGCAAAGCCCAGCTTTGCACCTCTGTGACCTTGGCATTGTACCTTAATTTCCTCACCAATAGACGCGGAGTGTCCAAATCACAGAATGAATATTTTATCGGTGTCTGGGAAATATAAGAGTTCAGATGCTACAGGGCTTTCTCCTCTGTGTTTGGCTTTGGCAACGTTCGCTGGGAATGTATTTCTCTTCAGGCATTGTTGTAGGGACGAAGAATATATCAATGAACAAAATAGCTTGTATTCCAACAAGAGAGAGACCCAGAATTAACAATTAATATGAAATGAGAAAACAAAGCCAAGGAGGGAAAAAAAAAGATAGTGAATGTTTTCTTTGGAAAGGAAAATATAAAACAGAGCCAGGGGCGATAGGAAGCGGCAGGGTTTGCAAAGTTGACCAATGTGGTTTTCTCTCAGAGGGGCCATTGGAGCAGAGGCCTGGAGAGTGAAGGAAAGCTGGGTATGGTTCACCTGTCTATAATCACAGCATTTGAGAGGTGTGGAGGCAGGGAAATCATGAGGTCATAGAGAGAATGTGAGGTCAACCTGAGACCCTGTCTCAAACAAACAAATAATAAACGCATGAGCAAATGAATGAATAAATATCAAAAAGAACGAGGAGGAGTTGTGGGGGGCACTTGGGAGAGGGAAGCCATGTAGGATTTTAGAATGGGGCTCCAGGATAATGGGATGCACCCCTGTGAAGGTTTCTAAGGAAGAAAAGCCATTGGTTGGCTCCCATGGAAGGAAGGTGAGCAGAGTGGCCGGAGTGGAGTAAGGAAAAACAACAAAGAAGAGGGTCTCAGAAAGTCCAAGAAGCTAAGCCAGGCCCTACACTGGCGGGGCTTGTTCCCACTGGACAGACTACTGCAGGTGCCCTGTGGGACACGCAGGGCTTTACAAAGGGCTGTCTTGTCACCTGTTGTGTTTGAAGGAGCCTGTAGGAGTTGTATGCAAAGAGAGACTGTGACCAAGTGGAGGCAAGGAGACCTTCTGGGAGCCCAGGACAGCGACTGTAAGGAGAGGTGAAGGTGGTACAGTAGAGGCGATGGGAAGGGTCAAGATGTGGAGACATCAGGGATTTGAAGAACAGAAGTTTATGTCAGGCACAAAGGAGGAATAGCCAGGCATGAAGGTGCACACAGGTAACCCCAGCTCTCCAGAAGCTGAGACAGGAAAATGGCTCTGAGTTCTACACCAACCAGAGCTACACAGGGAGACTCTCTAAATGGACATCTGTCACATCAGCTTTTGACACAAGCCACAATAATACAGGGAACCACCGCACAGAAGGTATGACATCTTAGGGCATATGAGGTCACCCATGGAGTGGGAAAGATGAGCCAAAGTCCTGGATTCACTCGGCTGTAAGAGGTTAGAAGGCTGGAGAAATGACTGAGCAGAGAAAAGCATTTACCACACAAGCCTGACAAACCAAGTTTGATCCCTGGAAGTCACAAAGTGGAAGAGGGAACTTTTATCTCCACAGATACCGTGACACTCATACAATAATATTTATCCATCCATCCATCCGTTTATCTATCTATCTATCTATCTATCTATCTATCTATCTATCTATCTATCTATCCATCCATCTATTTATGAGACAGGATCTGGCTGGCCTGTAACTTGTTATGTAGATCAGGTTGGACTCAAACTCAGAGATTCACTTGTTTCTGCCTTCCGAGTGCTAGGATTAAAGGCATGTCTGACTTTTTTTGGTTTTGTTTTCTGTTGTTTGTTTATTTGTTTCTATTTTGTTTTATGTGTGTGGGTGTTTTCCTGCACATATGTCCATGTATTAGATTGCACCTGATGCCCCCAGAGGTCAGAAGAGGATGTCAGATCTCCTGGAACTGGATTTACAGTTGTGAACTGCCATGTGAGGCTGGGAATCAAGGGCCCCCGGGAAGAGCAACAAGTGCTCTTAACAGCATAGCCACCTCTGTCTCTAATCTCTCATAAATAAACTTCTTAAAAAGAGAGACAAGTGGAGAGCATTGGAGGAGACAGCTGAGAAACTGGCCTTTCTTTGAGCTGGCTTCTAGAAGTCTGTTCTCCTTGTGATTCTTCACTGCCTCCTCCTTGTCTTCTGTGCTATGAGGCAGTCAGTGGAGAGAAATAACTCCCGGAGATTTTTCAGGATGAAAGTCATCTGTGACCTTGACGAGAGGAGTTCTGGTCTAGCGATAGGGGTGAAAGTGTGACTGGTGTTAAACGGAGAGAGAATAGGAGGAGCTTGCGGGATTGCTACCGATCCAGGGGATGTGCAGCCAGGCAAAAACAGTAAGCAAAGATTACAGAAGACCATGGAGTCCTTGAAAAACACTCATACACATGTATTATGCCCGTGAATAGAGACAGGAGAATATGTAACAGGCCCCCAGACCTTCGCACACTGATGCCATGTTAAAAGCACCAACATACAATTCTGAACTAAGAACCCAGCACAAAGACCCCTACACCTGCCAAAAAGCAAGAACAAAGACCTAATCCATCGTAGTCCAGTTCTGGGAAAGCCTTAAGAGTACTAACCCTGCTTTTTTACTTCTATGGCTCTGCTTATTGCTAACCATTCTTACTAATTGAAGTAAGTCAACCAGGATATATTTTTTGTGCATAAAAAGTCAAGAATGGTAAGCAAGTAGCTACACAGTTTGGGTAAGTTCCCTATGTAGCCCACTGGTAGGTGAATAAGGACTTTCTATTGGCTTTAAGAGTCTGTGTGTTTAAGTAAACACATTTTTGTACTAATGTGAATGATTCTGATGATGAGCAGGAAGTGGGGCTAAGTTCCAAAGCTATTAGTGGATGGCTTTGTTATAAGTGTTTGCCTCTAAACCTTACCTGGGAAAGTCATCAGACACACACACACACACACACACACACACACACAGAGAGAGAGAGAGAGAGGGAGAGAGAGAGAAAGAGAGAGAATCTCTCATGAATCCACACTTGTCTATACACAATATACATGTACACAACAATAATAAAAACGGTAAAAGGTTTTTTTTATATTTTTCATTACTATAACAAAAGAAGTTAGACTTCTTTACAAAGAAAGGTATAGTTTGGCTCAGGGTTCTAGAGATATGGGCCTAGGATGGTAAAGCCAGCCTTGAAGGCATAGAGCATTAGCTGGCAAGAGACAAGGATGCTAGAACCTGCCTCTTGACTGCTTATAAAGCTAGCAGGATTCACTCGTGGGAATGTCAACAATGACTGCCCTCAGAGCCAAGCGACTGCCCATTTGGGGAGTTCAGCTACACCCCTCTGCCAAAAGGACTATCCCAGTGTGCTCTATGGACTGCTTACACCCTGACACAGAGAAGTAGGGCAAACTGGGAGACCCTCACATAAGAATTTTCCATTACAACCATCTCTTGTATGCAACTCTGCCTTAATCACATGCAAGGGGAGTGAATGAGTATATAGGCCAGAGAAAACTTAGGGAGGAAAGCTCAATCTATAAGGCTGCAGGGAAGTGCTTGTCACTGGTGGGTAAAGGCTTCCCTGGGGTGGCCTATTGGAGGGGGAGGAGAGTCCACAACCCTGTGGGTATCCACTCACCTGTGTTCTGTAAGGAAAGCCAATATAATCATTGGTTACCCAGAGTGAACTTAGGCCTTTATTTTTTGCTGGGACATTGCTTATATTTCCCCCTGGTAGGGGGTGGGATGAGCAACAGGTGACTCCATAGTAGTTAGAGTTTTTCTTTCTTTTGTACACAGAAGTTTCCGTCACGCCTGGTTCTGTAGCTGTTCAATCCCAAAGAAACACAGAGGTCTATATTAATTATAAACTGTTTGATCTATTAACTCAATTATTAGCTCAGGCTCATTATTTACTAACTCTTACAACTTAAATTAGTCTGTAATTCTTGTCTATGTTTAGCCATGTGGCTTGGTACCTTTTATCAGTGAGGCATTCTCATCTTACTTCCTCTGTGCCTGGCTGGTGACAGCATCTCTCCCTTTCCTCTTCCCAGAATTCCCCTAGTCTGGTTGCCCTGCCTATACTGCCTGGTTACTGACCAATCAGCATTAAACCAATATGAGAGACAAATCTTCACAGTGTATAAGAGCACTATCCCACAGCATTCTTTATGTGTGCAAATGTGTGTATACATATTCATGTGTATATATGTGTTGGGGGCACAGATGTGTACATGCATATGGAGTCCTGAGGTGGGTGTCAGAAATTATGACCTAGTCAGGTTGCCCACCAAGCATTTCCATGGCTTCTGGGAATTCAAACTATTGCCTTCTTACTCGTGCAGTAAACATAGACTGAACAGGGACTTGCAGATTAAAAGAGACTCTCATCTGCCACCAATTGAGCCATCCCGGCCCATTCTTTTCCCCTCTCACAATAGGGATTAAATTTCAACCACATGAAGCCATTCAAATAATATCCTACCTGTAGCAAGAGACAACTGGGAGACATCCTGGTGCTGTGGGTGAGGTATGGATGGGTATCCCAGGAACAGAAGTGTGGGCAGCACCTGAACAGAAGGATCGAGAGCATGAAGGGTGCAGTAGGCGGAAGGTGAAGCCTTTTGTCCAATTGCCTTCATTTCCTCCGTGAAGTAAACAGCAGGGCTTTTGGCTCAGAGTGTGGAACAAGGAGGGTGTCTGAGGATAGAAGGTGCAATTTAGTTATTTCAGAGTGTGGGAAAGGAAAGTCCCCGGGGATATGCGGAAGGACAGTGCTGAGAGCCCACTAGAGACTTAGGATCATAAATTTAGAGTGGCGACAGCGTAGCCTTGTTATTTTAGTTCAGAATGGCAAGTTGGAGAGGAACTGTCCTTTGCCAAGAGGTCCCAGGAACCAGGTGAGGGGCGCGTGTATACAAACCATGGTGTCTGCCATAGCTGGGTAGGAAGGGTGTAAGGACAGGATAGAACAGTGAAAAGGGAGATTAGGGGGCCAAACTGAGTCAAAGAATTGCTCAAATATGGTTATTGGAGCCCATAAACTAGAAGAGAAAGAAGTGTTGGACAGGAAGTAAGGTGCAGGACAAGAGTTCAGAAATGGCTTTGGTATCTGGTGTTCCAAAGGTCTAGGATCCCCACACAACAATGGGGAGGTTCAGGGACTAGGGTCCCGGATGGGCCACTTACCTACCTGATCACTAAATTCCTTAGCAGTGTTAACATTGGTGGGGTGGGTGTGGAGAGTTGTGAGTCAAGCACGTGGGACTCTTGGAGCGTGAAGGAGAATCAGTCAGCAGGAAGGCTCAAGGCGGGGTGAGCGTAGCCTGGGGGCTAAGTCTAAAGCTGCAGGCTCAGGGGAGAGAGGCCGACTAACTTAGGGACCGACGCCCTGCTGCTGGCTACCCGTTCTCAGTTCCACTCTGGAGGCTCAGTAAACCTCATCCTCTCTTTGCGGCGAGGAGGCCATCCAGGGTAAAGGATTTATTCAGGGTCCTGGAGTCAAAGGAATCAGGCAAAAGCTAGACCTTTTATTTCCGTTTTTCTGCTTCCCAAATACCAACCCAGTGTTTTGGATATTTAAAAGAACACATAAAATGCCCTTGTTTGCTGCTGCCTTTACACAACCAGTGCCGCTCAAGGACAAGGCTGTGGTAACCATGGCAGTGAGCAGAGGGTGGTGAAGAGGTGGTTTTTAAAATGGGGTGAACCTCAGGCAGGCAGCACACAGAGCTGGAACCTCTTGTCCTCTTTGGGGCCCTTTGTTCATTCAGCTTAACTGTAAGGAAAAGCTGAATTCCTCCCTGCAGGGAAGCAAGCTCGAAAGGGAAGGGTTTGCCTCTTTCGAGGTGTAACCTGGGAATAGATTTTGGGGGGCCAGTAGGGAAAGTAGGGTCAGCTGGCATAAACAGGACAGTTTGTGGTGGCGAAGAAGCCAGCTCTCTGGCCTCCTGGGTGTAGAGTTCTTAGGATCTGTCAGCTGTCACACCGCCTCTTCCCAGACAGGTGGCCGCTCATGGGGGTGGCCCAGAAGCCCAGCCAAAAAGGCTGCCAGGCCCTGCCTTCGCAGGGAGGTATGGGGGCGTGCAGAGCAGAGGAGGGAAGAGGAGGAGACAGGAGCCAAGGAGAGAGCTGCTGGTTTAGGAGCCTCAAGTGCCGTCCTTTCGAAGACGCGCCCCAAGCTGTCGCAGGGCAGGACAGGGCAAACTAGGGCCACATGGGCACAGGGAAGTCCCATGACTGCAGTGTTTCGCGGCAGGTTTCCCAGCTGCTCCAGGCAGGAGGGAAGCAGGGCCGGTGATGGGCGAGGGGAGGGAGGGAGGGAGGGAGGG